CTGATTCTGACCTCCAAAGTAAGCTTTGGGGTATCAAGTCGACCTATCATGCCGTTCGAGGATGATTTAAAGCCATCCATGATTGCTATTCCGTTATTAGTCACGTATGTGAAGGGAAAACAATTTTTACATTAAGTAAAGATGGCACTGCTAAAACAGTGACTCATATTCCACAGCTGTATTTAAATAACACTTCGGCTCAACTACTTTGACACACCCTGAAACTTAAGTGATAGCTGTGGAAGTCACTCCATTTCTTGATTTGAACGCATTGCAGCAAGCAATAATACACACTTTTGCAGTCTATTTGGAGAAGACTTAGAAGACCGATAACCCATGCCATCCAGCTCCCTGCTTCTCAGTCTCACTGTGCAAAGCACACACACCTGCCTTCCCCGTGAACCTGACCACTTACGTGGGTTTCAGTAATGACCCCCACTTGATGCCTTATTTCTGATCAATTCTCTTTTAAAGTGGTAACCTCACACCCACATGAGTCCAGAGTGCACTGTGCTGCCTCCTATTTGGGACATAGAAACATTGAGTCCTTTCTCAAGGGAGTATGATTATTGCAAACTCAAAATTGAAAACTGTCTGAAAAGTTCGCCTGATGGATGGAAAAGTCAACAATATTTTCAGAGTAAGACTTACAGGTGGGTGAATGCACAAACATTTCCTCCAAGAATTGCTAAGTTTCCTCTTTGCAGGGGTCCGTGAAAATGAGGCACAGAGAAGTAAATTGTATCCGGTGTTCTGACTGATATAGCAGGAACTTAAGCCCATTTTGTTCCACTTTGGTTTTGCTTTTTCATGTAGAAAGAATCATAGCACAATAGACATCTTCCCCACGTGTCTTTGCCTCCAGAACACAGTGTACTTAGGAGTATGCGGGAGAAAGAATTTGAAAGGAACTGAGGACATTCTGCTTCAGTGGCCGTTTTCAATACACTCAGTCTTTAAAAACTGAAGACCATCGAGGTGGCCGAGGAGAATCTCAGCGGCAAAGGCTGTTGTGTCCCCAGGCACACCTAACACTGTTCACAGAGCTGCTCTGAGGTGACTGGGGTGACTTCTCTGGCCCACGCCTGGCTACACGCATTGGCATTGCCAAGCTGAAAGTCTCGGTAGCTTGAACAGAAAAGCCTTCAGAGTTTCCTTCTGCTCCGGTTTCACGTATCGGGGAGCTGGTCCTTTCTGTAGGACCAGCAGCTGAGGGAAGGCATTGGCGGCCATGTAAAAGCCTGTGAGTGTTGTAGTCCCTTCAACTGGGAGCCCTAGGAAGGCTGAGCCTACTGGAATTCAGTTCTCCAGCCATGACCACTGCCATGTAAACGCAGAGTGTCTGTGATTCCTTGAAGGAGGCCCAATGAGATCAGGCCTCACAGGAGACAGAGAAGGTCATGAGACCCTCACCTGAGATCCCAGCCACTCGGTCCTGGTACCTCTCTCCAGCCACGTGTAATTCTTCCCCATCAGAGTATTGAGCTGGGTGTGTAAAAAAAAAAAAAAAAAAAAAAAACAGGGAGGGGAAGGTTGGATTGGGGTTCTGGGAGGAAGCTTTCATGAATCATCATCCACGCTGGGATGCACTTTTCAGTGATTCACCTGTAAATAACCCTCACCTATGATTCTGTAAGGAATCCTAATAAGCTCATTGCTCACCAAGAGGGACTTGGATGGGATGACATCATGTCTCCCCAGGAAATGGAACACAGTGATGTCAGGGGCGTGCGAATGTCTGGAATAAAAGCATGTTGCCTTCCAAACAGTGGATATCCTAGCGAGAACTTCATGAGTTAGATACACTGAAAAGTGCTACGCAGGTGCTATGCTATGGGTAGGAGGCCTCCATCAACAGTCTTACCAAGCCGTGGGCCCTGTGAACTTCAATAATGAGCCATGTGATAAGATCTATCCTTGATGCAATAGTAGTATGAATGCTATAGGGGTTACCAACCACCTTCTGGTTGGATTTAAGGCTAACTCTGTAAGAGGAGGCACATGCCTGGAACTAAATATTTGGCCAAGAGCCCACAGTTGGGGAGCTTACAAGCATGAAGGAAAAACCTACTACTACTATTTTATTAAATGGTAGAGTATCAAACCCTCCTCTAAATTTGTATCTCACAGACCTCTTCATTGAAGTTTCATTGTGCAGGGGATTACGGCTAACTAAAAACCCACAACTGGTCAACCTGCAGAACTCTCAGGGGCTTCAGCTTGGCTTGGTCTTTGCTGTTGATACTCTCTCTTCAAACTTCATTCTGTCCAACTGTATTTTCACCCATCTTCACCTGACATTCATCGAGCCACTCACTCCTTCATCTGGACCCAGTGCTGGCCTTTTAGCTCTGAAGTTGGACTCTATAGCTTCTCTCTCAATCCTGTGGCCCTGCCGTGGCTTGACTCTCAGCCAACACAGCAGCTTCTGCTGGATTCATGATCTTATCCATACAGAGATTCTTGTAACCCTTCAATTTCATAGTTTTGCCATCTCAGGCCTCTTTGAATATATATTATCTATATTGAATATATATGTATATATATTCTGTAGCAAATATATTTGTTATTTTACTAAACATACATACATATATGTATATGTGTATATATGTCATATGATGTATAGCGTAGCTGGTCTTTGCTACTTGGTGGGTTCTTCTTTTTTTTTACCCTTTATCACCTCAGTTTTATCTCCTAACACTAGAAAAGAGAGACAAAGATAAAGAGGAGAAAAGAGTTAAGGAAATCCCCGAATCGAATTCCTTTCCTTTTGTTTCTTCTTTGACCATGGCTAGCTACTAACAAACTGAAACCAACCTCCCTAAAGGACCAAGAACCACCAACCGTACCTCCTGAGGCCCTCGAATTTATGTAGCCTTTGAAAAGTTCCCAGAATTCCAAATATCACACAATCGCAGAAATTATCTGCAGCTGGCAGACAGATAGCATGAGGCAAATCATGGTCAGCTGCTATGGACAGTCCAAAGCAGCCCCATATCCTTCACCTGGGATTAAATTGGAAGACCATTCTTATAATATTTCCGTGTTTGTTTTAAAAAAACCGAAACCCCAGAATTTTTAAAAATTAATCTGAGTTAATGTTAGTAAATAAATTAGGATATTCACCTAAGTCAAAGCTTTCAAGGAAGTGGAACTACCCGGCAAATTGCTGCACCTTGTCAAAGTATTCTTACTCAATTATGACATGGCTGACAGACACAAACTTGTTCTTTCTTTCTTTCTTTCTTTCTTTCTTTCTTTCTTTCTTTCTTTCTTTCTTTCTTTCTTTCTCTCTTTCTCTCTTTCTCTCTTTCTCTCTTTCTCTTTCTCTCTCTTTCTTTCTTTCTTTCTTTCTTTCTTTCTTTCCTCTACTTTCTTTCTGTCTCTCTCCCTTTTGGTTACTTTGAGACATGGGTAGTCATCTATGTTTTTTACATAGCACATTCATGAAACTTTTCTTCTCTACACCCCAGAGTTTTAAATGTGAACTGCAAACAATGCCATACATAGTACCCTCCTAGAACCAAGGTCATAGGTGAACAAATAGTCAATCCTACATCCTCAGAGCTGTAAGGGAAGAGAATAACTACCAGAACTCTAGGTATGTCTAACTCATGAAGGAATGCTGCTCTTGCTTCTATGATTAAAGGTAGCTATCCTATGCAGTTTGAATCATTCCTAGGGCTTAACAAGTGTTGCTATTGCTAGGATAGTACTCGCTGATCAAGTTAGAGTTTGATACACATAGAATAAATTACTGTATAACTTCAAGGAAAAACCTTAACATGCAACTGAAGCTGAAATTTTAGAAGAGATTTTTAAAAAATGAGCAGTAATAACTAGGGTATTACTGGGTATTAATAGGGTATAACTAGGGTATAACTAGGGTATTAATAACTAGGGTATTAGTAATAATAGGGTAAATTGTCTTTTGTAACTGCATGTTTTGACAGTCAGTTAAGCACTGAAACTAGACTTTTGAAGACCTACAATATATTGCAGCATACAACCACAAGCAAGAAGGTAACATGAAACTAAGACTGTCATGCTCCTTAGAATATCTGAGCCTAAATAAATACAATCTCTCCCCCCAAGCCTTCCCCCAACCATCTGATGAGTTGGTTGGTCTTGCTTGCTTTCAGCCACCAACTAGCAAGTGTTTTGGAGCCTTTGTGACTTCCTCTAACCGCTAACTCCCCATGATGCTCTAGGTATGGTGACGGTAATTCCCTGGACTCAGTCACCATGATAAGCTTTAGTTCTCTGCCATCCACTTGCAGTGGCTGCCTGGCTGAGAGCCGGGGTTTCTTCCAAGCAGAGGAAGGTGAGCAGGTGAGGGAGCGGGGGATGAAAATGAGAGCAGTGATCAGGCCGTGCCTGGAGATCGCAAGGTGACAACAGTGTACAGAAAACCAAACCAAACCAGCGAAGGACCATTCTTTAGCAATATAGGGACGCTCAATATCAAAGAGCTGGCACCTCGGGTTCTGCAGAATTGAACTCCAAGGCTGCCAAGGACAAGACGCAATTATAACAAAGCTGCACCCTGCCCCCAAGCCTCTGATTTGTTTGCTTCAGACAAATCTTTTTTAAAAAATGATAAGCTTTTTAGGAGTTCTGTGATTATTTAAATAAAGCATCGCTTATACTCAATGCAATGCCAAGTAGACAATAATTATGACATGTGAGTGTGTTGTGTGTCTCTCTTTGTGTGTGTGAATGATTGCACGTGTGTAGCTGTGCTTGTGTAGATGTGTGTGAATGAGTGTATGTGTGTAGCTGTGTGTGTGTGTGTGTGTGTGTAGAAGCTGCTGTTTCACTGTCCTTCTAGAAGCCATTGAACAATGGCATTACACAATGCTCTAGTGAGCATTTCTAGGAAATCAATAGGTTTTTCAAAGCTAATGGTCTTTCTTTTGGTTCCCCTATACATTGCTGATCCAGGCATAATTGAAGAGAACTCCTGGTTTGCATTTCCCACTTACCTTAATGTATCTTACCTTTGCTTTGACTATCAGGTCCTCATGCTTACGGATCAGCTCCTGGTTGTCTGAAAGCGATGAGCCCAGACTCTGTCCCTGCAGATCTCGTGTTGTTTTCTGAAACCAACAAGAAACCTGGGAAAGAGGCGAGAAGAAAGGACAAATGTTTGAGCGACAGAGGATTTAAACTCAGAAATAATACTGCAACCTTTGAAAACAAAGCATCTGAATTTCCTTCTACAGAAATTAAGTTATATATGAAGTTATTATCATCCAGGTTGTTAATTTTATCTTTATTTTAGCATCTCAATGCTTAAGAAATCCCAGAAGAACATATGGATTGCTAAGCAGCTCAGTGGATTATAAGGCGTAAGGAATCAGGATCTTCTTCATATGTAACAGCACATTCCCATGCACTCCATAAATGTTGCCCTTTTCAAATACAACGTTCTTTCTATATATAAATACAAACGGAATATAGTTACGCAGTCCCAGTTAAAGATATTAAATATCACATGTGGAACTTTCCTAGTATACAAAAAGGAAATACAAACGGATTTCATTTGCTGTCACTGGTGGAAATCTGTATTAAGAAACTAAATGGGGAAGTTATTAAATTCCTCTGACACTGTAAGAACATGACTAAGATTTATGCATAGTTGATTCATGACACAGGGCACACAGCATCAAGAAACAAATATTGTGGATCTTGAAGGCAGCAATAAATGCTTTCTTGCTTTAATTTTTTAATTAATTAACTTCGTGGGAGTGCTGATCTTAAACCCAGGGCCTCCCACAAACCAAGCAAGCATTTCACCTCTAAGGCCCTGAAGCGCTGCACTTTCAGAGATGCCAAATTTCAAGAGATACCATAACTTGGTATGAGACTTCTGACTTAAGGCTCCTGAGCACAGAACCCTTATAGCCACTAAATCATGACAGCCAGATATGTACTATCTGCTTCTGCAAAGCATCAGCCCCTGAATCGTATCATAACGACCAGTTTTTAAGCACTCTAAACTAGATATGGCGCTAGCTGGGTTGGGAGCATCATCTTTGTTTTTCCTTAGTGAGTCTGTAACAAGAGCAATATAATCATACAAATGTACAGAAAAAGCAAATGAATCTGGAGAGCTGAAGCAAGCAGTTTATCTAGAGACAGATGGTAAGCAGCAGACGAAGGACCTGCCCCAAGTGTGCACAATTCCAAAATCCAGGCTCTTCCGCCGTGCCCCGCCACCCTGTGCATGTAGCCAGTCTTTCAGCCCTGTTGTCTGGGGATATTTTTGCCAACCTCAAAAATGAAAGTTGGCAGCCAGTTCAAAACGGTGGGCATAGCCAAGAGTCATATTGTGTCCTTCTGCAGCCTCACTTATCTCGTCTAAAACAGCCACGGGCTTTCTTCCAGCTCCTGTAACAAGAAGGAATACATGAAGCAAGAGGCTGAGGGAAAGGGGTGTCAGGTGTAAAGTTCCAAACTGAAACTGTCCCTCACACACCACAGATGGCAGAGGCAGGGGCTCGCCCTCGATAAGATGCCCAGGACCACCGGGGGCGGGGGGGATGGTGTGGCAGGTAATCTTGAGAGCAGAAGGTCTGAACCAGCTCAGCATTTCCCAGCAGAGAAGAGGCAATAAGTTATGGAGCGATATGGTTTCTCTAGCTTACCAAAATTTTAGCCCTTTATCTAGTGCAAACAAAAATAATATGTTTACCCTTGTAGCTATTTTAATGTGAAATACACTTCCTTTGTAATGTTGGTAAACTATGATATATATATATATTTTTATATATAATATATATATTTAACATATATATACTTATATATGTTATATATATTTAACATGATACACATGCATAGTGTTTTTATATATTTACAATTCTTTGAAGCCATTTTATCTGCTATCCAATTAGAACTAGATATTAAGTACAGTTTGCATGTAAGACTCTCAGAGGGCACTTCATGAAGGGCACTTCATGAAGAACAATAAAATTTATTTTACTTTTTTATAAAATAATCTCTCACAAAAGTACCAGTGAGTTCTTAAAAAAAAAATGTGACCAGAGGGATGATTTGAGGGTTTTCCTCAAAACAGATGATGAATATAACTAACTCCCAGAGACTACTTAGTTGTTAAGTGCCCTAAGTGAGCGTTTTCTATTCCTGGCTAAAGTCAGGATCAGGGCAGACATCTCAAGAATGTTTTATTGTGGGACAGTTAATATGGAAGCTGAGTGAGCGAAACATGGCTGGAAACAGGTGTTCATTAATCTTCCCAAACAGGTGAGGTGCCTGAAGTCTCAGATAATCCTATGTAATTCGTGAGTCAAAACTTTGCCATCTAACGCATGCCAGAGATGATGAACGCTCCAGGAGGGAGCAAGTTGCTGTGATTTTTTTTTGACACAGGATCTCCCCGTAGAGCCAGTTGGCCTGGAATTTGATGTGCGGCAGGTGGGCTTCTCACTCACAGAGCCCTGCCTGCCTCTGCTCCCCAGGCACTGGGGTTAAAGCTGCACACTGCTGCAACAGCTCGTTTTGGTTTTTGAATGGTGCTGACTCACTTCATCCTTTAGATTTGGCTGACACTATTTCAGACCTCAAATGCTACTATCCCTACAGAGCAATGCTTTGTAAGTAGAAAACTATGGTCATACTCAGTATATTTGGTCCCTATATCTGCCTTTCAAGACATGTGACTTTAGCTCTATACATTTTTTTTTTCTAACTGGATGTACTTTGGGAAGAAACACAAACAAGTTGGTGTGAATGTCTGAAGTGAGTGGATCGTGGTTAGCATGGTACATGTTACCAGGAGGCATTCAGACACAAACAGCCTCCGAGGTTAGGGTTACCACCTGTGCTGTGGGATGCCCACAGACAGGCTCACGGTCCTTCTCAAGCTAAAGTAAAACACCCCAAATAACCACAAGAGGGTCCACCACAATACTCTGATACCCAGGCAGTCACTCATTACATCCCACAAGTAGTTACTAGAGACAGCTGCACAGCTATTCCAGGGGTCCTTTTTATAAGCTTTTAAACTGTATCAGTTGCTGTCCAAAAAGCTTGAGTGATGGGTCCAGGCCAATGAATGCTTCTACAGATACTGCCACAAAAAAGAGGCACATGGGATGGAAGAGAGAACAACAACAAAAAACACTCAACAAAGCAAAAAAAAATCCCTGAGACATTCATCAGAGGGTGAAGACAAACTGACATTGATCAATAAAGATACAAAGAAGAAACAAAGAAAAACAGACAGGAAGAAAGGAAGGGAGAGAGGGAGGGAGGAAGGAAGGAAGTCAGGCAGGAAGAAAGGAGAGAGGGAGGGACGGAAGAATTGGAATGCTAATAAAAATCAAGAATTATCTCAAAAGTAAAAGAAGAGGTGCAGGGAAATTCTGCCAAGTAGGTAGACTTGAACTGTGCAATAGAATAGCCATCGCCGGCACACTAGCTGGCCTGCAATTAGTCTATCCTGAAAAGTGCCGTGGACATAAACTGCCTATGAGAGATCCTGATGGGCTTTGGGCATTTTAAAAAGTATAAATACCTCATTAGCAATAATTATCTATCAAATTATATTTGGATGTGTTGTGTTAAATAATATATATTATGTTTCACTTGTTATGTGCCTTCTTCTTCTTCTTCTTCTTTTTTTTTAGTTACTTCTGGGATATTTAAAATCATACATATCCATTGCATTATATTATCTTTGGCTGGCTATGTTAGTCAAAGGAGCTCAGAATATGTTTAGTTGTTAAATGTAAATTTGAAGACTGACTCAGACTTAATTAAGAAGAATTTAAATAGCAGAGCCAGGAGAAGGGTGGAGTGAGGTATCAGTCAGTAAACATTTGGGGACTTCCATGTGGGGGGGCACAGAGGGAGGGGGAATGAGGATCTGAGGAGCCCTTTACAGAAGTTGCGCTCATCAGCTAAGTATTGGAAGATGGCTTTAGGAAGAGCAGAAAAAGCGGGAATATTCACTTTAGCTTTTGAAAATGTACTTCTTTCTCTGATTGGTGGCTCTTAGGAATTGAAGGAAGAAGTAACCAGACAACCACGAGGGAAGCTGCAGAAAGCTCTAAGTACCTGCTAGCCTGGGACAAGACTTGGTGGCTAGTTTACATGAACAGGACATTCTACTCTAACCATGCCTACTGAAAGAAATAAATGAACACAGTGAGGGGAGAGGATGGTGAGCCTCTCAGAGGCATCAGGCACTGTTCTTTGCATCTTAGAATGTCACCTCACCCTCTTCCTTCAACTGAGACAACAAATGAGGAAACAGAGAGGAGACAGGGTGAATTATTTGTCCAAGTGCAAATGCAGGCAGCAGGGAGGATTGGGAGCAGTCATGTCATGGTCAGACTCCGTGCTTTCTGATCCAGTATTTATTTTGCATTCCCATCACATTCTTCCAGTGAAACAAAGGATTCTGGGAAAGCCCAGGTTGATGAACAAAACTGTAAGGGAAGGCTGGAGCTGTAAGGTCTGATTTTAACATAGAAGGGCTACAGGCAGGCTCAATAGCACGTGCAGTTAAAAAAGACAACAGAACGGCGAGTCAAGCTGTCAGGAAGCCGATAAGGAAGAGACCAGGCATGGGCAGAGGTGACAGACAGTGCACAGATGAGGATTACATTTTCCAAATGATACACAGTCTAAAACACGAAAGACACCAGCAACAGAAAACGACCTGTGAAGGTCAAAGATGAAAAAGCCTGGAAGCAAAAAAGGGGAAGGGCTGTGGGTGCCAGAAGCCCTACCCAGACTGCCACAAGCCACTACTTTCTCTTCTCTGCAATTTGTTTTACAAACTGAGAGGAGATTTAGTTTTTATCTTTATTTAAAACTGTGCTGGGGGAGGCAAGCTAGCAAAAAGGAATTCCATCCGACTTAACAGAAACACATTTAAAAAATAAAAATGTCTTCAAATTACTTTGCTTTTCTCTTCCTTGTACAGAACAGCTCTTGACACAGAACCAGCTACTTCTCAGACAAAAAAAAAAAAAAAAAAAAAAAAATTGACAAAGAATAAAAGGGGCATCATTTTTGTTGTGTTTTTCTTTTTTAATCTTTCTCAGCCCAAGCATTTTTGACAATCTTCCATCCAATTACCAGAAAC